AGCACACACCACAATAGCACCTTGAATATAATACGTAAATCAATCATATAATCTATCCCTTGTATCTATAACAAAACATGCCAAACCAGCCCGAAATAGTAACATCATATATACAAACCATGAGCACATATACACAGTAGTGTAGCATCTACAACCGATGCTGCACAGCCCCCATCTCCTCCTCGACCTTCGCCTTCGCACTCCCCACAGCAACAGACTGCACCTTCACCTCCCCAGGAACAAAATCCAATCCCGGCTCTGCTCCCTTAAACTCCAACCTCCTGCACAACTCCTTCCACGACTCCAACCCACGTCTCGCATGCTCCGTCACAACCCCCGTCCCCTTCTCCGCCAACGTCCGACTAAACAACTCCAACGACACCCACCCTTCAAACCCAGTATCAAAGAATGCTCTGGCAGTCTCCTCAATCGGCAAATATCCACCGCGATCCTCCTCAAACGCAAACAACCTCGCATTGCGACTCCAGTTCATCCGCACCGGCTGCCCCTCCACATGGAACGGATGCGTCTCATCCAACGGCCTATCCAGCCTCTCTCCATCAACTACCTGCACGTAAAACACCTTCTTGACATCCACCGTCTCGCGCAACTTCTTCAGCGACGCAGCTAGATCTGCTTCCGCGTTGACTGTCTTGCCGTCCTTCCGGCCGGGGTGCGCATATACCCGCCCCGCAAGGTTAAATGTATCAAGACAGATACCGAAGTTAGGACGGTCCACAGCCTCAACGATCTCGTACGCCTCGTCCCACAGGTTAACCCGCGTGCCCCAGGCCAGTGCCTCGTATACGAAGCGGAACGGCGGGGACTGTGCCAAACCAATATCTGCGAGGCGCTGGAGGTCGCCAACGATCACGTCCCGGTCACCCGTGGTTTGCTGGGCGGGCGCAAAGTTCGAGGGCACCTGGATCATGTCGGTGTCGAGGGTGCGGGCGAGTTGGAACCATGTGGGCAGCTTCACGGTCAACAGGTACTCAGTTTGCTTGCGGTCGACGAGACCCTCGAAGAAGGAGAAGGGCTGCAGGCAGATGATGGTGAGGTTGAGGGTCGTGCAGAGAGCGTGCACGGCGTGGGCGGCAGCAATGTGGTTGCCGTTGAAGTGGGTGTTTGCGTAGTGGTCAAGGTCGTCAAAGAAGAGCTCGATCCCGCTGTAGCCGTGGCGGGCGGCTTCGTGGAGCTTCCAGGGGAGGGAGTGGATGCCTGGGCGGCCCAGGGACATGGAGGCTATGCCGAGACGGTTGGGCATTTTGTTGTCTTTTTTATCTTTCTTTGGTATCTTTTGAAAGGGTTGTGTTGTGTGTTATGGGAGGGGTGATAATGATGCTCTTATAGAGAACGACCCAGTCCTTGCAAGATAAGGAATGCCAAAAAAAAAGTACAACTAGTTCATCAATCAATCAATGTGATTAAGCCGCGTCAACTAGTGGATTGCACAAACCTTATCGGGTGATCCTATCTAGATGCTGTGCAACCGCAAAAGAAAGCAGAAGAAGCAAAAAGGAAATCCAATTCGAAAACAATAATTTGTGATCTGTCGAAAAACAAAAAGCGTACTTTTCTTCTCCCTCAAACAGGACCAGGAACAGGCAACATACTTTAACCCATCTAACTTAGGGTTGATTGGTGTTCCCCAATGCAAGAGAGGGGGGAAGAAAGGAAAATTGGGGAAATTGTCCGCCCGCCCGCCCGCGGCAAAGCGCTTTACCCGCGTTGCGTTTATCCGGGGGTAATGTATCCCCGGCAAAGACTGTGTGGTCTGTGGGACGGGTGTGGGCCGATGTTGTTCGAGTGTGTGTGCCTTACCCCGTTTCTTTTAACCCGCGGATGACCCCGGAGCGGCAAAAGAGGAGAGGAATGGTTTTATTTAACCTTTATCCATCCCTACTTACTTCTTCACACTTGTGCCTTTTATATGATTTTGAGTTGGATGAGTCTTGGGTGTGGCTGATGCCGAGAGAGTTTGTTCTTGTTTAACTTTGAATGAATATCAATTGGTATTGGCATATTGGTATACAAGGTTCAGAGTATAGGTAAGTAAATCCATGTCGACCTAACGGTCGCTATCATCTAACTAGCAATCCAGGAATACTGCAGTCGTTCATTCCTTCCGGCTGGTATCCTCCACCTGCTCAACACCCCCCTTGGTGTAGCCCGACTCCTCGAGATCACGACGGAACCGCTCTTCGTCTTCGTGGATCTGCGCCAACACCTTTGCGTGGGCACGCCACACGGGCTGAGTCTGGAAGAGCGGGTCCATGTTCTCCAGCGGGATACCCTTGGTCTCCGGGATGAGGAAGAATACGAAGGGGATCGACAAGAGCATCAGACTGGCGAAGAAGAAGTACACGCCGTAGTCCATCTTGGCGAACATCTGCGGCGTGAAGCGCGAGATGAGGAAATTCCATAGCCAGTTGGACCCGGCAGCGCACGCCTGGGCCAAGGACCGGATGTTGGGATCGAACATCTCCGAGTTGATGACCCAGGGTGTGCCGTTCCAGGATGGCGTGTAGAACGCCGTCCACAGGTAGAAGAAGAAGATGGCTGCGACACCGCCCCCGTTGAGGTGGTCGCTCTTGTTGTGGGTCGGGTCCACGACTTTGATGTATGCACCCACAATCCACATGCAGATGGATCCGCCGGCGGCACCGATCAGCAGCAGCAGCCGGCGGCCGACGTGGTCGATGAGGTACAGCAGCCAGATGATTGTCACCACAGTCTTGACCACGCCGAAGATTCCCGTGGTCAGAAGGCTGGAGCTGTTGCCTTTCAGCCCGATGCTCTTGAACACGGTCGGGCTGTAGTAGTTGATGGCGTTGATGCCGGACCCGTTTTGCCAGAAGAAGAGCATACTACCGAGGAACAGCCGGTACAGGATACGCTTGTTCGTCCAGGCTTCCTTGAGAGGCCTCCAGAAGCCAAGCCCGATCGTGGAGCGCTGCTGCTCCAAGGTCTGGTCGATGGCCCCGATCTCCTCAATCATGTAGATATGGTCGGCAGGGATCTGGCGGATCCAGCAGAGGTTCTTGATGGCCTCCTCGCGGCGGCCACGCAGGAACAGCCAGCGAGGAGACTCTTTGACGAAGAAAAGGCCGATAATCAGCAGGCCCGCTGGAATCAGCTGGATGGCAAAGGGGATCAGCCACTGCTTGTGGCTGGGAGCCATTGTTTGCTCCACTCCGTACTTCTTGAGTCAGCGATGATCGTAGATTGTAAACATGTTGTAGGGGACACTTACGTTGATCCAGAAACCCACGAGACCGCCGATCTGCCATCCTAGCTCGTAAACACCGACCAGCCGGCCTCGAATGGCAGGCGGGGCCAGTTCTGAGATGTAGATGGGCGTGAAGTTGGAGCCAGCACCAACGCCCAAGCCAGCCAGCACACGACCGCCGTAGATCAACCCCAGACCGCGGTCGCCGTCGGCACCCAGCATCAGGCCCGCCCCCAGAGTGAAGATCAGAGCTGACAGCATGAGACCCCACCTACGGCCCCAGAAGTGGCCGATGGGATAGGCAAAGAAGGCGCCGAAGAAGGCGCCTGCCTGGTAGCAGGAGACGATGTTGGCACTGACAAGGTTTTGTTTCGCAGTGGTCATGGAGTCCCAGTGGAACTCATTCTTGAAGGAGTCGAGTGAGATGGTAGTGCCGATGAAAGCACTATCGTAGCCGATCATACATGAGGTGAAGGAGGCAACCGCCGCCAGGAGGTAGATACGCCAGTTGTAGACCTCCTTAGGCGTAGGCCGGTCCTCGACCATTGACAGAATAGACATGATGTCTGTCTGTCTGGACGAGATGATGATGGATGGGTAGCAGTGAAGTTACAATGATGACCGAGGTAGATTGTGTATGCAACAGTCTGATAGAGAATTAGAGGATGGGAGTCACCAGGGCAGGGTTATATAGCCCTTCCCCGGACAATCGAAATCTGGGGTGCGGAGAAAGACTGGGGGAAGAGGCAAAGGATTACCCCAGATATCAGACTACGCCCAAGCGATTGTTGGGTAAAACAAAGGGCGGCAAAACAATCTCTTCTTTGCAAACCAGAATTCAACCAGAAGGATTCTAGAGAGCAGGGAAGATAGAATGGGATGGGATAGGATTGGACATGGATAGACTTCACGAGAGAGTGGACGAGCCACGGTCAGGCCTCGTGTTGCGCACTGGCCTACACTGCAAATTTTCCGCCACGGGGGAGGATACACAAGCTTGGGAGCCAGATAGGGGAAGGGAGACGAGAGCCATGGCCGGGTTGTGGGGGGCGAAGGTGAGGGTGTAGGTAGCGAGCCAATTGTTGTCTACTAAGTGAGTCTATACTGTTGTTAACTGGCTCCCTCCGCAATCGGAGGAACTGTCACGGGATGAGAAGCGAAGATCGCAGAGATGAGCCAATGACAATGCCTTATTCCCCACGGGGATGCACTGGCCAGACACCGATGTTTAGTGGGAGAGAGGAAAGTTCTCAACGCATGTGCGCTCACGTGGACTCAACCAGAGAGCGAATAAGAAGGACGGTATTGCCACACAAACCCTAGCTCTAGTAGTACTAGGTACTAGTGTGACATGTAATGATACCAATACTAACCACTGCAATGCAGCTAGATATCATATCCACTAGACCAACAACAAGAACTACACCGAAGGACTAATCAGTCATTCATGACTCGTTAACCATCACTGTGTGTAATCTCGCCTACAGCTCTTATACTTATACCTCCACCTCCCACATTTCATCAAATATACTCCAATACCCCGCTCGGCACCTCGGCACCAGTCCCCAGCACCTAACCCGGGAAAGCGCTCAGCCCCGGCCAAGTCCTTAGCCTACCCAAGACCTGCGAACAATAGCCTGCTAACCCTACCTACCTACCTAGTCCAGGGGACTGGATCGCATTACTCAGTAAGAGGCAGTCTAGGTAAAAGTCATCCCCGATAATCTCCATAGATATAACATATGAAGTAGAATACTTAAACCTACACATTCATTACCCATACTACCACCACATCCTCTATTCATACTTCCTTCCTCCATCTACCAACCCTCACTACCACCACCCGTCACTACAAACCTCTCCCATACATACATACATACTACTACATCTCCAAAAATGGAACTGCAAACTCCCACCCCCAAATCCATCCTCCTCATCAACGGCCCCAACCTCAACCTCCTGGGCACCCGCGAACCCCACATCTACGGCAGCACCACCCTCTCCCAAATCGAGTCCTCATGCGCCGACCTAGCCACCTCTCTCTCCTGCACATTCGCCTCATTCCAGTCTAACCACGAGGGCGCCATCATCGACCGCATTCACGCCGCGCGGGGCTCCGTCGACGCGATCATCATCAACCCCGGCGCATACACACACACCTCCGTCGCGATCCGGGATGCGTTGCTGGGTGTATCCATTCCGTTCATCGAGCTGCACGTGAGTAATGTGCATGCGCGGGAGGAGTGGAGACATAAGAGCTTTTTCAGTGATAAGGCCAGTGGGATTATTGTGGGTTTGGGCGTGCAAGGGTATAGGGTTGCGGTTGAGTATGTGGCGAGGAATTGGGCGCCGTTGAAGAAGGAGGGGGGAAAGTTGTGATTGTATAGAGATTCTACCTTTTCATCTTCTACTTTTTTATGAGAATTGAGGGTGTGGTGGAGGAAAAGCTTGTTATGTATGGTATGATATGGGTATACTATCGGTGCAATATGCATATATGTACAGTTCAGGTCGTCGTCACTCATCGTGGCTTTGCTAAGAAGCCAGCATTCTCTTTTCTTCTTCCATTCCTTTGGATGGGTCACTTCGTCAGGTGAAGTGATACTGGGCCGTATATCATATCTACAATGACCATATTCTCTCTTTCAGTGCTGTTTGAAGAGAGAGGTAGAGCGGAATATGGATCGGCGGTTGCAGCCTGTCTGCCGTCGGAAGTTAATATCAAGGATTTAATGGATAGCACTCAGTACATACCTTACTGCAGTCAACCGAAACTAGGCCGGTGGGTTAGAGGTGAAAAGCAGCAGTCGATTGTCTAACTGCTCATCTCTTTCCCTCTGCTTGCGACCCCCGTCGGACCCCGCCCACCTCGCATGGTACCTGCTGCTGCGTCTGCGCCAGAAGGAACGGCTCCACTTGGCTCGAGTACGAGTACAGCTCCGGCACCCCCGCCTCGGGCACAAACCCGAGGTTCTGCATAAACTCAGGCTGATTGTCCGTCCTGCAGCTGTTAGTAAAGATTGATTTGCAAATTGTGATAAACTCACTTTTCAGTCCCATCCAGCGACGCCAGTTCATCAAACAACGCGTCCAAGTCCGGTGCAATCCGCGGTCGTCGCGGCGGCCCGTATCCGTCAATGTCGACAAATGATCCCAAATTGAGACTGGTATCACCGTATGGAGGTGGGTACTGTGGTGCAGTGGTGTGGAAAGGCGAGGTCAGGTCCGGCATCAGTGGTGTGCCTGTACCGTTGATTGGTTTCGTAGAGGAGATGGAGGAGCGAGGATGGTGAGACAAATGGTTAGGAGGAACAGATTCTTTGAGTTGAGAGGAAGGGTGGGCGGTCTCGCCGCTTTGGTTGATATTCAGTGACGGGGCAGGAGTGGGGATAGATAGTGCCACATTGTCATCGACCGTGGGTGTTCGCATCCACCCGTTCGAAAAGAAGGCATCTGGTGTGGCTATGTTGGTCCGGTTGTCCTCCAGCATGCTCACTCGTCGTGCCGGCTCGCCCGCGCCCAGCGGAGCCTGAGCGAAAGCGTGAAGCTGACCCGTATCCCGGTTGGATAGGCTTCTCGGTCGGGCGGGTGCAGGTGTTATCGATGCGGGCAGGTCCGGAGTCTTCTCCGGTAAGGTCGTGTCAGGCCTGTCCTTGATATGCCAGACGGTCGCCAAATGTGCAGCAAAAGATTGAAGTTTACTTTTGAGGCCGGGGTCCAGTTCAAAGGGCAGCGGTGCCGCTCGTTCTCCGGCCGGTGACAGACCACTTGTGAGAACCAGACCAAACGTAGGACAAGTGGCAGAAAGACTGTAGTTCTCCATGTATGTCTGAAGTAACTGGAGCAACCGTTTCGAGCTCTCCGTGGCACGCTTCTTCAGCGGCATCTCGGACATGTTGCGGTCGCTCCGCTGCAACGCAAATTGCAGGCTCAGGTTCGTAGCGACGCTCTCGTACATCATCTCCAGCCCAAATATGTGTGGGGAAGCCACCTTGATCGGTGTCGTCTGCAGATCAACGCGATAGCTCTTTGGGAGTGCCGACACCCAGAGTTGGAGTTGTCGCTCCAGCGCCTCCAAGTGTGCGATGGGGCCGGTTGTCGTCTGTTTCAAACAGCACAAGTCGTTCAGAATACACATCAGCGAAGTGAGTCGGTTAAATGTGCTCAAGGCGTGAAGAGGTCCGCGGTGGAATGAAGCGCGCGACGGCTCGACTGGGCGCAGTCCCGTCTGGTCCTCCCACGGGTGCCACTCCTCCAACCCGTCTTCGTTAATCGGACCAATCTTGATGAGCTCTGCCTTGCGCAGCGATGGCACCTGTCCCGTCTGCATCGCAACCAATGTCTCCAAGATGAAACATCCCAGGAAAACGTGCTTAGACCGTGGTGCACTTTTACCTTCCTCCGCGCTCTTCGACTGCCCCGTGGATTGATTCAACCCAAGGCTCTGAGCAATGCGAACAGCCTGTCCGACTAGTAGCCATGCTGCTGACCAGTCCTGCTGGCCTAGCTTTACCAGTGACAGAATCAGCAATGCCTGCACGTGACCGAGCTCGTGGTTCCCATTTTCCTCGGGTATGAGGCGTCTAGCCGTGGCGTACAGCTGCGCTGGATCAGGACGATCACCAGCAAAATCGTTCAGTTGTCGCGTGGTGGAAATCGAGGCCTCCTGGATGGAGGCCAGCGTTAGGACCGCCCACAGCGCGGCGTAATCGCCAGAACCTGGAGAGGTGGCGGAGATTTGAGCGTCGTCTTCATTATGACGGAACGCTGTTCGTAAAATATCGTGTTTTTCAAGGATAGGAAACCAGCATTGTGTGTAGGAGAAGTAGATGTCTAACAAGGGCCAGGCGTTCGAGGGGAGTTGGGGGATAGGAATGGGAAGCGAGGCCTGGTCGGGCGGGCGCTGCGCCAACCTACCCAGCGACAGGCTCGATACATCCTCCCCTAAATCGTTGGTTGTAGCCGTTTGAGTCGCAGAGTCCCGCGTAATCCGTACTCCGGAGGCCTTAGCTGTCGATACCGCGGACGGGGTCTTGATAGGAGACACCACCGCCAAGGACCCTTCTCGCCCTTCTCCCAACACGTCTGGAAGATTCCATTCCAGCGCTTCCGCTGACAAGACGCTGCTTCCTTCAGCATCTTGCGGGGAATCACTCTCGCCCGGTAAACGACCTGCTTGGTCCTCTTCAGGTTGTTCCAAAAACGTCAACAGTCGCTCGATCTCTCTCAGGACGATGCTGTTTTTCCACGACGACAACAAGGTATCGGATCCCTCTGCCTCCTTGCCCATCGTCGCCAGATGGCTGGGAATATTGGCCGCCTTCAACAAGGCGCGCACCACCTCCTCACTGCCTTGAATCTTATTGAAGACCAGTCCCCATAGTAACTCGAGGGTGCGAATATAGCCGGTCGGAAGGCCTCGTTTTTTAGGATTGGCCTTGTAGGTGCAGGGCCGCGAGAGCGAGGCGCAAGTCGAGCACACGGGCTGCACGCCATCGCATTTGTCTTTTTTGGAGCGACAGCTGTCGCAAGCCCGGGAGACACGTTGGCGTTTGGGGTTAGAGGCGAAGTCATCTGCAGCAGGACTCTGCTTGCTATTTTCCTCGACGTCAGTCAATCGCCGCTTTGACTTGCTACCAGGCCCGGAGGCTTGGCGCGTGTCGTTGTTCATGATCGTCTATCCAACGGTCCACTAGATGGTAATTCCGGACGCATGTTCATCTTCCATAGAGGGTGGCCGAAGAGATGAATCCTTTGCCGGCGGCAGGTAGTACCTCATAAATTGGCCCTTGAAGGCCGCCCCACCGCAGGAACAATTAGGCGAGGGCCAGTGAGCGGGCGACTGCGAAACACAAACAGGGAAGGGGGAGGAAACTAAAGTAGTGTCGGTCAGATAGAACAGGGATGATGAAAAGGCAGCTAATAGAGAAGGGGAAGGTAGTAAGGTCAAAGTAAGACAAAAGGACGGACCGATGGGGGGGAAGAATGGAATATGGGAAAAGAATAGAGGAGAGCGAGAGGGAGAGATCTAAGAGCGGAGAAAGGAAAAGTTGGCCGGACATGACGGCTGGAGGAAAGTTGGGGAAAAGGCCGGCCCTAACTTCTTACCCGCGGGTGGGAGAGCGTCAGCGCCCGCCCCCATAGGCCACTTTTGCTGCATCGCGATTGGGGAAACTACGGTGTAAAGCTAAGTGCTACTGGTGGTGGAAAGTGTGAAAGGCAAAAAGAGGTCAAAGAGGCCCATCAGAACCCACGGATTGGAAACGCTAAGTGTCCCCGGTGGACAAGATGGAGTAAAGCGCCGGGGATGGGGGGGGATCCATTTGGTAATACGAAATCAAATGTAATCAAATTATGAATCCTTCTTATGTGTGTGTGGATTGTGGATTGTGGATTGTGGATAGTTGGAATCATAATGTGGGAGATTTTGGTCCAGGTTCGGGAATTAGGAAGTTGTCCGAAGAGCCTGGGGGTGAGAGGGAGCCAAGTGTTAGTAGAACTTGGGGAAGAGAAGGTGTGGAGAGCCATTCAGATTCCAGCATTTTCAGACCCTTTACCTTTCCCCCGTCTACCACTACTATTACTGGTTAACCCAGTCTTGTGTCGCATGGCTTATTCCAGCCGCACCCAAAGTGCGTGTGCATTTCAGTATGTAACTAAGAGTATTAGATCAATTGCTGCCTGGGGATTGAGCTGCTCTCCCCGCGGGGTATCGATGCAGGACAAGGAACAAGGCACATCCCAGTTAACTAAACTCAGTTGAACTAACTCAAGTCTACTGCAAAGTACTACTACTAAACTTTCCTTAACAACTTGGTTGTTCGGCCGCCGGAGTCATTCCGGGTCATCCGGACGTGGCGGTAACATGAGGTACGAAAAGCATACGAAAAATACGGCCCAGCGACGGCAGAGCCTTTGTCCGCAATCACTTTTGGAATTTGGAGAGCCAAAAGTGTATCCACTCGCTCGGCAGTCGTTTCTTCCCCGCGGTTCGATCGCACTTCCGTCTTCCTCCTCACTACTCACTCTTGACTATTCTACTAACAGTAGTTATTCTCCATCTCCACCTTCTCGTCAAACACGCCCAGTCCCTTCCTGGCACTGCAGCCACTCCAGGTTCGTCCCTCCTTGTCCCTTCCCTTCCCACCCCCCCTACACTACACTACCTCCTTAGCTCATGTCTCCCCACACTCTTGGGTTTTGAGCATTTCCCGCCCTCTTCTTATTACGTCGCTCACACAAGTAGTTGGATTGCTCCTCCGCAGGCTCATCGTGACCTTTACAAACCAATGCTTACCTTTGAATGCGCCCGGTCGGTCCTGCAGGAACTAATTCTCGGCTCTCGCGTCCTACGCCATGCGTGGGTCTAATAATCGCCCTCTTCTCAGTATTGTGATTTCTCGTGTATAGCCTGAACAAAAATTCCTGTGCACGACATGTCCATCCTCGTGAATCCACCCAAACGCAAGCTAGACGAGCTGGAAGGTCCGGTCGAGCAACAGAACAGCAGGCGCTTGTCGCATCTCCCTTTCACCTCCAATACACCCCATGCAGTAGACCCTACCCCCGGCAACGATGCTCCTCCACGTCCCCGTGTCAATTCCGCTCCTCAGACGGAACACTCAGAGGCGTCGCCATGGTTGAACGCTTCCTTGCGCGAGCTGAATTCAAATCGTCAGTCGCCAGTCTCCTTTGACGGGCCTTTCCAGGCTCAGAGGAAATTCGCTCCCAATGCGTCCATTGTGTTGACCGGAATCCGCGGCACGGGAAAGTCCAGTCTAGCGGTCATTCTGGCGGCCACCTCGGGTAGGCGGCTGATCGATGCAGACCGGTATTTTCAGCAGGTGACCGGCCGTACACGCGCTTCTTACAAGAAGGAGTTTGATCTGGTCGAGTATCGTCAGCAGGAAGCCAGGGTGATGGAGTCCATGCTCTCTGAAAATCAAGAGGGCTGCGTCATCGCATGCGGGCCTGGGTCCATGGAGCGCAGCGGGCAGACGTTGTTGAGAGAGTACGCGAAGACCCATCCAGTCATCTACGTCCTCCGAGACCCCGAGAGCATCCAGTCTTATCTGAAAGCGTGGAACACAGACAAAGTTCGTCGTTTTCTGGAACTCTCGGGGCCCATCTATCGCGCATGTTCCAACCTCGAGTTCTTCAATGTCTCTGAGAAAGGCATCGCGGACCACCCACTTCCAAAAGACGGCCACCAGGACTCGCCATTGGAATCTGAGCTTGATCAGCGAGTACAAGCAATCACTCCTTTCCTGACCCTCAAACAACTACAGCGTGATTTTCTTTGTTTCATTGCGTTCGCAACGGGCGACACCACGGACCTCAGCCGTCATAACTCATCGTTCCCTCTATCGATGCAACCAGTCGAATCACGCACCTACACCTATGCCGTGACCGTCCCTATCTCATCCATGTTAGAACGTGATCTGGACATCGAGGAGCTAGAGTCGACCTCCGATGCGTTCGAGCTGAAGCTGGACGTCGCCGAACCACCTTCCTCCCATCTCGGTCTGGACTCGAGTTTTGCCGATACTATTAGTCGGGCGGTAGCCAATGTCCGACGGAACACGGTCGTTCCATTAATATACAACGTGGAGAGTAATGTATGTCGTTATGGCTTGAGCGCAGAACACAAGGATCCCTCGCGGCGGTCGGATGCAGAGTACCTCAAATTAGTTCAGCACGGTCTACGATTAGCCCCGGAGTTTGTGACAGTAGACATGTCCTACGACGACAAGGTACTTTCACAGGTCATAGCCTGTAAAGGGTCGAGCAAAGTGATCGGGCACTTTGCTGCCGTGCAGCCACCGGCGCGGGGCTGGGATGACGCACAGTATATGGATCTCTACGAGCGAGCCAAAAGGTTAGGGTGCGACATGGTCCGGCTGACACAGCCGGCGGTGACGATTGACGACAATTTTGCCGTGCAACGTTTTCGCGACTACATCAAGTCCCTTCCTGCCCCGCAACTCCCTGTCATTGCGTACAATACAGGCCCATTGGGCCGGTTGTCATGCTGCTTCAACCCGACATTGACCCCTGTCACTCACCCATCAATGGTCGCCGAGACACAATCGAAAGGCTTGCCGTGTATCACCCTCCGTGAGGCACAGGAGGCGCTGTACGCCTCATTCACTTTGGACCCCTTAAACTTCTTTGTTTTCGGTGCCAACATCACCTACAGTCTGTCTCCTGCCATGCATAACGCCGCCTATAAGCGATGCGGAATGCCGCATCACTACAAACTTCACCAGTCGTCGTCTCTGCGAGGCCTTAATGAGTTGGTGGAGAACCCGCATTTTGGTGGCACCAGTGTCAGCCTGCCGTTCAAAACAGAAGCCATTCCGCTGCTGCATTCCATGTCTCCACATGCTCGAGCCATTGGCGCCGTGAACACGCTAATCCCTATTCGGAGGCTGGGAGACAAGGCCCTCGACGCCGATAACTCCTCGCTGTACATGGAGAAGAGTCGTGCAGGACCGATCAAGGCCTTGCATGGAGACAATACCGACTGGATCGGAATTGGAAATTGTTTCCGGAGAGGCTTGTCACCCGCAAATGCCATCCGCCCGTCATCTACTGGGCTAGTTATTGGCGCGGGTGGCATGGCCCGCGCAGCCATTTACTCCATGATACACCTGGGAGTGCAGAATATCTTCGTCTACAACCGGACCATAGCGAATGCCGAAAAGCTCGCCTACCACTATAATCGCCAGAACCTCCCTTCGCCAGGCCAGGCCGGGTCAGCGGCACGGCCTCAGGTGCACGTGCTGCGAACTCTACAGGACAGCTGGCCTGCCAACTACAAGCAGCCGACCGTCATCTGCTCATGTATCCCAACTCACAGCATCGGGGGGCAGCCGGCCCCAAATTTTGAGATGCCAGTGCAGTGGCTCGAAAGCCCAACGGGAGGCGTGGTCGTGGAGGTCAGTTCAAATACCACTGTGTTTATGCCCTTCTTTATGAACGTTACTAACCAATATGTAGCTGGCGTATAAAACGCTCAATACCCCACTGATGAAACAAATCCGAGCACTTTCGCACCGTGGCTGGGTCGCTCTGGACGGACTAGATGTCCTCCCGGAGCAAGGTTTCGCCCAGTTCGAGCTATTTACAGGTCGCCGGGCGCCGCGACGGCTCATGCGGACCGTAGTCTTGAAGGAATACGAGGGTGAAGAAGGCCAATACGACGAGCAGGCGATCCAAAGCCGGATTGAGAGTCTAGATGGACAACCCACCTGAAGTGCTCATTTCAAGAATATGCCATTAAAAGCCCCAGCTATCTAATATCGCGTAAGAAACGCCACCATTGGCTGCCCGCCTCCGGCATGACCGTACCTGGATGGTCCGTCAGTCAGCATGCAGCCACTTCCGCGGGACTTTTTTCCTTTTGGCGCACGGTGGGAGGCATGTGGACGAGCAATGCTTACTGAACACGAGCATGCACGTACAGGCTAGGCATGGACGCCAGTCGCCGCGGACAATGCAGCAAACGGCAGCATTTATATCTAGCACTGTCTGTCTGCACCCATGATATGATATATTTGTGATGACTACTACGTACGTATACTATCAAGAGGATCACGACTATCGTTCCATATACAATCAATGACAAACACGATCAAATATGAATGCCAAGATCCCTTTCCTTAGTAAGAGAATAGTAAGCAAGAGACATAGAAATTACTTATTACAGTAATAGAATCCTATGCAATGTAAGACGATGTGTAGTAAGAATGGTTAAGTAACTAAGTCGTTAAGTGATGCTGTATTCTATTTCCAACTAGATCCCTCGTACTGGGTTGGTCCATCTAGTAGTTTGCTATCTGCTACATGATCTGCACATTCTGCTACTATCCCTAGTCGGCTTACTGTGATCTTCGTCCTCAATTCCATGCAATTCCCTGTCACATAGCGTAGTAGAATGCATTACTATTATTATTGAACGCTTGATACAAAAGCAATTTACTGCTTTGGTCTGGCAGGATACCGAAAGTGGAGAGAAGGGAAGCTTCCATCTTCTGTCTGTAAGTGATTAATCCGTGAGATGAATATGGTATTGTCAAGGTTGTGGGCAACTCAGCAAGATGCTCATATATTGCACACTCAATGCAGAATGTTTGAAGAGAAAGTTTTTAGGGAGAGAGGCATGCTTCTTAGCGCGAGGTATGATAGGTAATTCATTAAGTTATTGTAGGCTGCTTAGTAGCTAAACGCTTCAAAACTAACACCTTGGGGCTGTGCGCAGAGTCTCACATCGGCAAGGACGTACCATGCCAATACTTGAGTATTAAATCCAACCCTAACCCAATACAGCACCAGCCCAACAATACATTAAAGTCCCAAGCAGCAGAAAATATTCATCCATCCAGTCTTACTTCAGCTCCACAAAGTTTCCACACGCCAGGCGCGAGTTATCCGCCGCATGCACAACCAGTGAGAGGTTTCCAAAGAAAGCAGGCTCTCCCTCCACATTGGAAAGGAACCAGTCCGTGTACGTGGTGGTAAATTCCTCGTTGTCGGGCGCCCAGATCGGTCCATGCTTGCCGCTGAGGTCGCCGACTTGGCAGGTCTGAGGCGCGCTGATGTCGCAGGGGGTGGCATCGCCACGGCCGTAAGGGTCCAGGTGGGCGCCAGTGCTGTAGCAGTTGCCGTCCTTAGGGACTGGCTTTTGATGGATGTGGTAGACTGATCATTTCATAAATAGGTCAGTATAAATGTGTAGGTTTGCTATTAACTCAAGGTTTGAGTTTGGGTTCCCGTATCTAAACACACAAGCCCCATATGATGGATCGATATGAAGGAGCGGGAAGAAATGGAAGTAGACGTACCCAACTGCTGTTCATTATCGGGGATTCCCCAGAAGTGCGCCGAAACAAGGACACCCACGCCGCTGGGCTTAGGCAAGATGGTCACAGACCCGCGGACAGTGGTGTTATCCTTGGGCTGTAGCTGCGCGTAGTAGGTCACATCATCGTTGTCAGTGACAACGGGTGCATTGGTGTTCGCCGCAGCCGTGGCAGAGAGGCACAAGGTAGTTGCGAGGAGGGCGGATTTGAATAGCATCTTTGTTTTCGCGAACAAATTTGGCTTTCTAAGAATGCGTGAGCGAATTAGTGGGTGAGAGGGTTTGAGCAGGTTTGCGAAGGATTTGCAGGTAGGATATAAGTATATAACTCAATACAGGAGGAGAACTGTGGTACCTGAATGAAGAAAGAACGACGATCGCGGTCAACAATGGACGAATTCGGCGAGTTAGCAGTCAGTGTCTTTGTTTTCCTGTAACCCCTCTTCCCCCTTGATTCCGGGGCCGCTTTATAAGGGACCATGCGTGGCGGTGTAAGGGGACACATTGGTGAGACAATGATCCATTCACACACCGAGTGTATTGTGAATCGGTGGTTGCATCCCTTGCCATGATCCGGATTTGTTGGTTCCGGATTGGGAGGCAAAGCTGGATGCCTGGGGATTATTGGAATGTCCGTGGGGGCCGTCAGAGAAACGGTTTCGGGCAGGTTACACCGGCATTGTCCTGCTATGCTATGGATTCCTTGGAGATTGAGAGTTGAACTGAGTTGCTGTCAAGGTTGTCAATGGCAAGGTTATTCTTAATGTTAGTTTTCAGGCAGTCACGGGGTGTCGATTTGGATCCCCTCTCTGGGCTTTTATTGGGCTTGCTGACTCTACATATTCCCCTGGCACGTTTAGTAGTGTGCCTTCTTGACCTTTCATATAACTCAGTTGCTTGTTGTCTTCCTGCTCAGCATCCACCATCCCTGACTTTTTAGCCATTGAGTACATGTGAGCAGTCTAAGACTACGAAGCCTGGGGCGAGTACGTAGTCTGAGTGAAGCAAGCTCTGACGAGCAACTCTGGATGGCTTGAGAGTAAGAGCAACAATGCCTTGGATTTCCAAGCAGGAATGTATTTCAGCTAGTTCTGTGGCATGATTGCTACCCCTAGACATGCCACAGTTCATGGCTTGACTGATTTTCTCTCATTTGGCAAATGTTTATTCACAGCGTTCTAGACTGTGTCTTGTGGATGGCCTCTGACAAACTGAAATGACTGGCGGAAAATCTACTTGTCATATTAGAAACTAAACCAAACCAGCATAATCGAGACCGTATACTACTTACCATTATTGGTGGATATTGTAGCGAAGACACAAAGGTGTCAGTCACAAAAATCAACCTAGAAGCTATTTGCCATATATATATTTCACCCGCATAGCCATCAACAGGATGTCCACTTTATGTTGCTGAGTTTGGGGTGCTTTTCCACTCTCAACAAGCAAAGACATGGAGTAGATAGTATCTTTCATCAGAAGGAGATGAGAGGCATCAACACTATGCGGGGTAAGTGTGCCGAGAGATCCTGGGCTTATCAGGATAACTTCCCAATTCGGGCAATTTAGGCGCTGGATCATCGCCAGGCCCAGACTGGAACTTCCCCCTCCATCCCATCATCGGTTGTATTTGTTGATGAATGATCGACGGCCACGATGGACTCCTATCAGTGACAACTGACAGCTGCTGCTGCTCAACACTCCACTCGAGACTGCCACGAATAACGTCCATAGACGAGAAACGAGTGGGACTCGCCTCGAGGTCCCCATATGATCCATCATCCCCGGACTTCTTTGCGGTCCACTGCGTCCCATCGGAGCATGTCCATCTGCTAATTCTCCGAGCGGGTTCCGCTCCCCCTCGTCAGCTGTGGTCAACAATGGAACTATGGGTCCAATGTGGAGAGCTCGGGGTATTTATACAACGAGGGGCTTGTAGACTTCAACTTGGCCCTCCCGCCCCAGCCGCTCCATCTCTCGACAACATCTACGAAGATACAGTGACATTGGACTACTCCCCGTCATGTCTCTTGCTCAAAGCAACTACGTGATCCAGCTCCCTAAAACACCATCCTCTATCGGTCCGCTAGATCCTCGAGCTATTGCCCAGCGATGGATCACCGATCTGGAGGTTCTTCTCGCCACGGGGAACTATTCCCAGCTAGGAAGCGTCTTCCATGAGGACTCCTGGTGGAGGGACATGCTCGCGTTGGTCTGGGACTTTCGTACCATCCAGGGATGCGCGAAGATTCAAGACTTCCTGGCTGCCAATCAGCCTCGCGCGGGTCTGTCTGCTTTGCGTCTTCAGCATGAGGGCAAATTCCAGCCTAGGATGGAAAGCCCCGCGGAGGGGCTGAACTGGATAAACTCCATCATCTTCTTCGAGACTAGTGTGGGGCGTGGCTCCGGGGTCATTCATCTGACGCAGAACGACGCAGGAGAGTGGAAGGCATATGCGATGTATACAAATCTGCAAGAATTGAAGGAATTCGAGGAGCCATTGGGCATCAGAAGAGCATACGGTACTATTGAGACAATGCCTGGTGGACTCAATCAGGGTAACTGGCTCGAGCGACGCCAGAGGATAATTGAATTCAAGGAAGAAGAGCCTACGACCCTCATTGTTGGAGCTGGTACGCAGACCTCGCCATTAGTGCAATAGAAATAAGCTAATTAGTAAACTTTTAGGCCAGGCAGGTCTCAACATGGGCGCTCGGCTCAATTCTCTCGGGATATCGCATCTCATCGTCGACCGGAATGAACGTATCGGAGATAATTGGCGGAAGCGCTATAGGGTGAGCTACGCTTGCTATACACATATTCTGACTCGCCATCTGACCTGTACTCATAGACCCTCGTGACCCATGACCCTGCAGAATTCACCCATATGGCATACCTTCCCTTCCCGAAGAACTGGCCGCAATTTACCCCCAAAGACAAACTAGCCGACTGGTTTGAGGCTTATGCTATGATCATGGAACTGAATGTTTGGGTTCACACCTCCATCAAATCTGCCGACTACGACGATGCCCAGAAGCAGTGGACTGTGGTGGTCGTCCGCGGCGATGGGAGCGAACGTACACTGCGCCCACGCCACCTGATCTGGTGCACGGGGCACTCAGGAGAACCCTTGGTTCCCAGCTTCGAAAACCAGTCGCAGTTCAAGGGCACAGTATACCACGGCAGCCAGCACACAGATGCATCCCACTACAACGTAGCAGGCAAAAAGGTCGTCGTGGTCGGCACGGGAAACAGCGGCCATGATATCGCGCAGAACTATTGCGAGAATGGTGCGCAGGTAACTATGCTGCAACGGCGTGGGACCTATGTCATTACTGTTGAGAAGGGTATCTTCATGATGCATGAGGGTCAACACGAAGATCACGGGTACGTCTTATCCCTGTCTTGAACCCGCACGCCTCTAACTCTTGCAGACCCCCTACCGAAGAAGCCGACCTGCTGCATGAATGTCTTCCATTCCCTGTTCAATTTGCTCTGGGCGAACATTTCACCCGGCGCGTGGCGCACGCCGAGCAAGATCTCCTCAGTGGCCTTGAAAAGGCTGGTTTCGCACTGGACTTTGGCGTCAACGGTGCTGGTCTTGGACGTGCATATATGACTCGCGGCGGTGGATACTACATCGATGTTGGCTGCAGCCCGCTCATCGCCTCGGGAAAGATCAAGGTTAAGCGTAGTCCAGAGGGAATCTCTCATTTTACGGAATCCGGGCTTGTTTTGAAGGACGGGTCAGCCTTGTCCGCCGATGTCGTGGTCCTCGCGACTGGTTACGACAATATGCGCACGACGGTACGGAAAGTACTAGGTGACCGTGTTGCGGACCGATGTCGAGATGTCTGGGATTTAGACGAGGAGGGAGAAATCAACGCAGTACGTACTTCTTCCCGCTTGCCCCAACTTTATCATCACTAACAAGCACTTGCTATAGATGTGGCGCCCCAGCGGACACCCCGGCTTCTGGTATATGGGCGGAAACCTTGCCTTGTGTCGGATCTATTCCAAGTTCCTGGCTCTGCAGATCAAGGCTATTGAAGCTGGCTTGGTGAGTGATGAGCAGATACAGGCGCAGGCTAAACTGTGAGCTGGTAAGTGGACGAGCGATTGTCTCGGATATGGGAATCTAATAGCGGCGGATAGAGCGAAGGCGGATCTGGAATTAGCGTTCTTGTTAGAATTAGGTATTCAGTAGAGCATAGTGAACCATGATACTTTCTGCTACGTTAACGGAGTATGAGAAGCATTCGAACCTCGGTAGCCATAATATGTCTACGTAACGAACCTGTCTGTGTTGTAAAGTATACCTCCACCTGTTAAAAGATCAGAATTACGTCGAAATCAAACAAGCATACTATAACTAGTAATACCTGAGAAGTAATGACAGACAAATCACTGACTAACTCTGTCTGTACGGAGTAGACCTCCCAATTATGATGTTCACAACGGCCCGCACAACCACCAATTATGCACCTGACTCAGCAAATGCAAATTAGGGCAGCGCTAAACCCAAAGCCGCTAGACCCATCCACACACAAAGCGGAGTCGTAACGGATTTTCTCACGGCCCTCCAAGCGCGGCGCCCGGCCTGATTTTCTTCCCTCTTTTGATCTTTTGACCCGATATTCAGCGCAGAGCCACACCATAAGGATTTCAAGTTCTTTTGGAAGACTGTCAGCACCATGTCTAAGATCACAGTCGGTATGTTACATCTTCATCCCAACAACGGCAACACTTGAGGTGTATGTGTATGTGTATGGTGCAGGATGCTAATGGTTTTTTGTGTGAACAGCCGGAGTGCGCCAGAACATCGAGCAGCTGCTCAACTACTCTCAGAATGAGAAGAAGAGGAACTTCCTCGAGACCGTCGAGCTTCAGATCGGTCTGAAGAACTACGACCCCCAGCGTGACAAGCGTTTCTCTGGTACCATCAAGCTGCCTACCGTTCCCCGTCCCAACATGACCATCTGGTATGATACCACCACCACCACCACCACCGGAGAAATACCTTCGGAATGAAGGGGAGAGAGAGAAAGGATAGAATACTGATGTAAGGATAGTGTTCTTGGTGACCAGCACGATCTCGACCGTGCCAAGCACCACGGCATTGACGCCATGTCCGCCGACGACCTGAAGAAGCTGAACAAGAACAAGAAGCTCATCAAGAAGCTTGCTCGCAAGTACGATGCTTTCCTTGCTTCCGACACCCTCATCAAGCAGATCCCCCGTCTCTTGGGTCCTGGTCTCTCCAAGGGTGAGTTTTCCCCCTCATACCTCCCTTATAGGGGTATCGTGCTAATGAATGAATAGCCGGTAAATTCCCTACCCCCGTCTCTCACGCCGAGGACATGGCCAACAAGGTCAACGAGGTCAAGTCTACCATCAAGTTCCAGCTTAAGAAGGTTCTCTGCCTCGGTGTTGCCGTCGGCAACGTTGGTATGACTGAGGACGAGCTCGTCGCCAACACCATGCTCGCCATCAACTACCTTGTCTCCCTGCTTAAGAAGGGTTGGCAGAACGTTGGTAGCCTTGTCCTCAAGGCTACCATGTCTCCCCCTAAGCGTCTGTACTAAGCGGGTCGCTTTTTCTCTTTTCTCTTTATGAATAAATAAAAAGGAAAAAGTTTATGTGTCACGCTGGGGGTACGACACCCTTTTTTTAGGGACTGGGATTCTGGGGTTGT